ATAGCAATAATCGTTGTTTTAATTTATAGAATGACATTAAAAAATTTCGTATTTTTTGAAAATCAGAATTCTGAGGATATGTCTGGATAGCATGCTTCAGAGTAATTCGATCGTAGCTTAAAATATTTGTTTTGATGTCACCCTAATCCAAATCCATTCAATTATGCATGAAAAAGGTTTTTGTAATTTTAATAAAAAGAAGGAATATGCACTGTTAAAAATTTTCGTCTGAATTTTCCGTGCCAAATTCCGGCAATTTTTATCGTGTTCAAGTTCCACTGAAATTTCAGGAAATCTTGTCATTGAAAAATCAAATATTCCATTGATTTTCTGTTCAAATAATCTAGAAATCAATAAAATACGTGACTTTTCAGTTCAATTATTCTGTGAAAATTCATGTAATTTTGTTTCTGAATATTTCATTATTATGTTCCACTAAAAACTCATGAATTTCCGTGAAATCTCTTTAAAACTTGAAATTTCATACCCATTTTTTCCCTAAATTCAAATCAATGTTACTCTCATGACATTTACTGTAATATCTTCCATGAAATTTCAAAAAATTTCTAACAGTGTATAAAGAAGAAATATAATTCTATTCAGCAAAATAATATAAAACTATAAATAATACAGTAGAAAAAAATGATGTGCAGAATAATCATGCGGAAGCATATTGTTAATTTATTCTCAAAAATAGCTATGCTATATGAAAACAAAACCAATTTCCCACTCGTTTTATCCACCGCACTGGGGTACTGCGTGTCTGGCGTGAAATGCTATTGGTGCAGTGATTATTGATGCGTTGATACAGGGGTTATGCAATCAATCTGTCATGCGGATTTGAAGATCTCCAGCTGGCTCGAGGAGGCCAGAGCTGTTCTGATCCGCTTTGAGATGAGCGAGGATTTTCAATGCTTCAATTTCCGCATTCAATCGTCCGTTATTCAATCTTTGATTTTTTAATCCAAATCAATAGATTTTAGATGATTTTTCGACAACAATTTTACTTCAATCATAATCGAATACTCCACTGCCCTCCATCATCGCGAATGCAAACGCAATCTCTTCATATTCGTATAGTTGACCGATCCCATCCAAGATATCATCATCGATGTGTAGGAAATCGCATAATAAGCACCTGGCAATAGACCCGGTGCTCGATATTCCGGCTTAACTCGATATGTGCGTCCCCTAGATGAATTACAATTGCAGATCACAACACGTGCGACATATAACACTCCTCAATTTCCCTCTTTTATTAATATGAAACAAAGATGATCAGAAAATCCAACATGGAAATAAGAAGCGAGATATGGAAGTCTGGGATGTTATCTTGACTAAGACGGAGCACACTGCGGGGGTTCCAGCACATGTGTCCTGATATCAGGTCCTTCTTCCCTCCCACCCTCTGTATTGGCCAAGTGAGACGTGATAGATCGCAGTGGCAAGTGCCAACAACTGGCAATAATCACCAATTGATATCTCACCTTTTCCTCATTTCTTTGTGATTGAACAGATAAAAGTGCTTGCCGCGAGCTCATTTCAATCGTATCCACTCATTCAACGTCTTTCATTCATTTTATTTTAAAACAAATATTGCACACCGGGAGATTGATCGCTCCATAGTTGCCGATTCCACGACTATTACCATGGTCATTTCAACACACACTGTTGGAAATTTTTCGAAATTTCGTGAAAAATAGGGTAGTAATACTCATGAGAGTGACGTTGAATCCGATTTAGGGGAAAAATGGTTATGATATTTCAAGTTTTAGATATAATTCAAGAAAATTTATGAGGTTTGCAGGCGGAGGGGGCCGGGGTGAGATGGAAATTTCACACTTTGATTGAATTTTCAATGGAAGATGAAAATTCAGAAATAAAATGACTTGAATTTTCAATTTTTCCCTGAATTTTCCCGATTTTTCCGAATTTTTACAAAATAATTGAACTAAAAAATCGCGTAGTTAATTGATTTTTAGATTATTCGAACTAAAAATTAATGAAATATTTGATTTTGCAATAGTGATGCCGTGAGAGACTTTATGAGACAATACTTTGGAGGGATGTTCTCGGTCTCACGGAACATGGAAATCTTTGGTTTCGTCTCAGTCTCGAAATACGCAGTGTCGACTGCTCTCGTGATGATTCCGAATGAATTTATCCCATCTCGGTCTCAAATTTGTCGTATTTTTAATGTAAAATCTCGGTTTTTGTCTCGCTTTGTCTCGTCTCGATTTTCTACATGTAAAAAACGCGAAAAACCGGAAACCGAGGTGAAATAAATTGACTCGGAGTCATCACGACAGAAGTCAATACTGCGTATTTCGAGACTTAGATGAGACCAAGAATTTCCGGGTTCACCCGAAACCGATGGTTCACTGAGACCGAGACAATCCCTCGAAAGTACTGTCTCGTGATGTCTCGTAAAGTCTCTCGTGGCATCACTATTTTGCAATTGCGAGGTTTCCTTAAATTTCAGTGGAAATTAACCGTAATAAAATTTTTCGAGATTTGACACAGAAAATTCAGACGACAATTTTTAACAGTGCAGAAATCATTATCTACGATTTCGACTCTGCTGATGTTCGGCAACCTCAGTAATGATGTTATATGGTTCTGGTGACATTACTGTGATATACACTAACAATAGGTGTTCCTTTTCAACCTCAGATGTGCCTACTTTACATCGAGAACAATTTTAATCCTTTGCTTCACAAACGGTGCGAATCGTCTCGGTGTCAAAGCAGTAGGGGGTCTCCGACGCACATCACTACAAACCGGTAAAAGAGGGGTACACTGTTGAAATTTCAAGAGTCATTTTCTAGCAGTGTACCCTGAGAGGAATCAATGTGTTAGTATATATAAAAAATGTCAGAAAAATATGTTATTTTCTTCATGAAACTCCCTACCTTTTTCATTTGAAAACCACCGAATAAACTATAGCGGTAGACATTCAATATCCCACAAAGATTCCTATATTTAATACAAAATATAAAATTTATAATCCTTTTTCTGAGTTTGTCATACGTTGAACAGTTCTGCTACCATAGATGTCTCAACCCGTAGATGATAAAGATTACTTACACCCACAAACTTCTTTCCTCCGGAGAACTCCAATTCTGGTCATGACAAGTGAGCTGCTGTCCTTACAGCAATATAGTTGAGTTCCGCGTGCACGACGAATGAAAACTTCAACAGTAAAAAAAAAGTTATCGATCAGTAGAGAATACGGCTGTCAACTGTCTCAGGTCCATCATTAAAACTCACTCTCTCCCCCCCCCCATCCCTTTCGCTCATCCACAATGTGGTATTAAAAGAGGTTGAAAAAAAGAAAACACGTCAAGTTATTCAAACCATCACGTTGCACCTGGATGCACAGACGTATTACGGTGCATGAACATAAGGCCCCTCTTCATGACCCTCCTTCAAAGTAAAATTAGTCCCCGGGCAAATGGTAATTTTGTTTCTGAATTGTTAACGTTGTTTCCAACAATCGATATACCGCAAGAACCCCGTGCGCACACCGGTGCGAAGGCGATGCAAATTGATTCAGCAGTTTGGTAATATCCCATCAAGCCCTCCACTCTCTTCCCTCCCCCACGGGACCCCCATCGGTAACGCTTATGGTAGTGCGGCCGGATAACTCAAGCCAAGTGTAGAGAACCGTCCAGACCGATGGATACGAAACTTCATCCTCTGGAGATTTGCCTCAAGGGCCAACCTTCCTCATCTCTTCCTTTGCACCTTATCTCACTCAAATGTATAATTCAGATTTCCATGTACCTGATGTGATACAGTTGAATATTACAAAGAGTTGATTCCAAGTTATGCATCAAGAGTTTTTGAAAATTCAGAAGTAAACTTTGCACGTTGTTCTTTCATCGCTAATTTACTCACCTCGGTGAGTTTTATCGGAGTTCTGCCTAATCTGAATGCATAAGGCGAATGATAACGTCAGCGTTATTCATCCCGTGTGAAATGGAGAGGAGTCGAGCGATAATGAGCCAACGGGTGATTAGCAACAGGTGAACTGTCATACAGGAAGTTGATATCAGTTTGGTTTTTATCCTTCGGAAAATACTGTCGTAAGCATAATTTGTTATTTCAAAGGTCTTTTCATGCGTATAAGGAGTTGGAAAAACGTGACAATGTTAATGCCACAGTTGTGTGAATCATTGGATGACTCATATTGACGTGAGGGACAGTTGTATTTTGATAGAATTTCCGAGTGTACGGTGACGTGCCGTTGGTACGTGATTATTTGTTTTTATGTTTACAAAGTGGTCGTTGGTGTCATGTCTAACGCAGGGAGAAATGAAATCAGGAACTGAGGTTGGGCCAATCTTCGAAGCAATATCAGCAATATTCAGGGGGATTTGAAAAAATGATATGTTGACTCGCTGAAATGATATCCTCCATTTCACATTCACGTCGGAGACCCTCATTTGAGATAATAGTATAAATATTATCTCGGTGCATTCGTCTTTTCGTCCTTTGCTCTCTCATTCCACGCTCTCATTTGTGTTATTACGAGGAAGTAATTTCATGATTTCGTTTTACGCGATGAGGAGACTGGGGAATAAAAGATTTTATAATTCGTGGCCCATGCATGATGAGTTTTGAGACTACATATGAGAATAACTCAGTGTAACATAACTGAGCGGTTGGGTCGTGTTCCGTTGTCGAAACGTGACACACGTACCACAATTCTGTGGATGCACTCTGACCGGACCCGAGATAACACAACGATCGAAATCTCTCGGTTGGAATATCGCCCAACAGTGCACGTTCGGACTTGTCTTGTTCTCTGGGTCCCTCCCTTATGGGAGGAAGTAATGTGGAACACCTGGTGAGGAGTGAAGCAGGGAAATATTTCGAGTTGAGTTTAATCGTCAACCGTAGAACGGTTATCCCGCTGCATGCGACAGCTACGGGTGTACCCTTGAGATATGCCTGATACGGATGATGATAAGATACGCCTGTCCTCTGGAGTATATAATATCCATTTGTGTCGTGAAATTGCGATTCTCAGCTGTGCGATTGTTCTGGTTAACGCCAATTTAACCTGTATCTGAATTAATGTGTTTGGGTAGTGGTGAACGTTTGTGAATATTTGTTGACGTGAATTCTCCCGGGATGTCACCTCCGGGTAACAACAATCCAGGTCATGTCTATCATCATGGACCACCTCATCATGGGCCGCATCATCATGGGCCGCATCATCATGGGCCGCATCACCATGGACCACCTCATCATGGTCCACCTCATCATGGCTCACAAGATCACGGTCCCATCCATCATGGACCGCCTCATCATGGACCTCCTCACCATGGACCACCCCCTTACGGAGCTCATTTTGGCCCACCTCAGCACGGCCCACCACATGTTGCACCGTCATATCCACCCCCTCCATCAGGTAGGCCACACAAAATACTAATCACTAGTAATAACCAGAGAGCTTCAAAATTATTAGATATTTCACGATAGCTTTGTCATAGACAAATGAGAGTGTCAAGTGTTGCAGGCTAAGAAATACTGGGCGCTGGCCCGAGTGAGTTTCCCGTCAAACTTGACACGATCTTTTGTTTGCACACTGATAAAAAAGGTGGACCGATTCAGTTGCACCAAACGAGTCTTCTTAACTGTTACCGCGATTCGTTAATAGTTAACGAATCGTGGTAATAGTTAAAAAGTCTCGTTTGGTTCGACTAAACCGTTCTATCAGTGCAGGGAAGCTTGGGGGAAATACCAGATAATTTTGAAGCTTGAGTGGTATTTGTTGGATTATTCCACGAGAATGGATCCTAGCCCGGAAGTATGCAGGATTTGGCATTATAATTTTGAGAGCAAATGAAGAGCTAGTGTACAATATTCGGTATAAAACTTCTTCGCGCCCATCACATGACGCCAAACACTGCAGTATCACACTTCGTAATCACGATTATTTTTCCGGGAAAAAGCAGCTGTTGCAGATTAATCAACGATATGACTTATAAACGTTAAAAAACGGTTTGTGATGTCATGCTTTGTGAAAAAAAGCATACCTTTTCATCAGTTGTTTATGAATATCGCCCAACTACATGAGCCAACGTTCTGTTTCAGGCCCTGGACACCACCACGGACCTCCTCCACATCACAGATTCTGATGCTATAATTGCAACTCTCAAAATCCCAGATAATTACATAAAAGTACTTGATGACTTTTCGTATTTCTCCTCAATCAAAATAAAACTATAACCGTATAGGCCAGTGTTTATCTTATCACCTCGAAATAGATAAGCTCATGATAATACATCCGCACAAAGTCCTTCATCCGTTAACATATCACAGAACGTAAGTATCAAATTACAAGAGCTTGATTCACCATCCTAAAGAGTTGATGACGTAGGTGCACTACAAAAACAGCATCAACTCCAGGGTTGCTGAGCCAGAGTTGTAAAGTTAATTGAAGAAAAAGAATCATTTCGCTAATGATTAAGCAGTGTGTTTAGCGAGCAGTAAATCTTCAATACAGCTCCAGGTGAATCAGGCTGAATAGCAGCTACATAACATGAACGTGTCTCATTGAAAAATATTTTGTGAATAATTGGATCTAGTCTCCATCTGAGTCAAATGGATTTGACGATTTAAAATGATTCAAATCTCAATGATGAATAACTAAACTCATGATGAGAACAACGATTCCGGGTAATTTGATTGCAACGGCATATCTGGGTGTCGTAATGAGTTACAAGGCGTAGGAGCGTTGATGGACTCGACGATCATAATTTAACGCACACCACCTGCGTAATAGAGAATCTTTTCTCTTCCTTATGGGTAATATACGTGTATCCATATGCACTCACTCTGATGGTCTGAGGCTTCTCAGTCTCAACACAACCATCTCTGTGTGTAATGATGATTCTCACTTCGAAGGTTGTGCGCCTACAATTGCCAAGTACCTTTACCAAGTCATCTTTGTGTGTAAGAGTTGTACCTTGAAAAACGCAACGAGTCAAGGCAAAGATGAGTAGCGTACTTCTTGTTCCGTAGAATTCTCTGAAGTTACACTTCCACAGCGAATGAAGGTTGCAACGAATAAAGATTGAAGATTACTGTCATTCTGACGTTTCTGACGTTTGATTATGTCAATCAAAACATTAGCTTGAATTACTTTTATGGATGAAGACCTGCTGTGAGGGGGCAATTGGAGGGATCAGTTGNGGGGGGGGGGGGGGGGGGCAATTGGAGCGCTCAGTTGAGGTGGTTTTTTCCCCAGGGATTGAAGCTCCCGTCAAATTGATTACCTCTTTGGCTATTGCATAGTCACCTAAAGAGTATGAAAAAATGGGTAAGAAGTAATAATGATGACTGCGATTAAACTAACTAGCAAAACAATTCCGCTTCAGCCNGCATAGTCACCTAGAGAGTATGAAAAAATGGGTAAAAAGTAATAATGATGACTGCGATTAAAATAATTACTAAAACAATTCCACTTCAGCACTATTCAATTATGTCAATCAAAACATTAGCTTGAATTACTTTTATGGATGAAGACCTGCTGTGAGGGGGCAATTGGAGGGATCAGTTGAGATGGTTTTTTCCTCAGGGATTGACGCTCCCTTCAAATTGATTACCTCTTTGACTATTGCATAGTCACCTAGAGAGTATGAAAAAATGGGTAAAAAGTAATAATGATGACTGCGATTAAAATAATTACTAAAACAATTCCACTTCAGCACTATTCAATTATGTCAATCAAAACATTAGCTTGAATTACTTTTATGGATGAAGACCTGCTGTGAGGGGGCAATTGGAGGGATCAGTTGAGATGGTATTTTCCCCAGGGATTGACACTCCCATTAAATTGATTACCTCTTTGACTATTGCATAGTCACTTAGAGAGTATGAAAAAATTGATAAGAAGTAGTAATGATGACTGTGATTAAAATAATTAGCAAAACAATTCCATTTCAGCGCTATTCACTTACGTTTAGTGGCAGCTCCGAAAAAAAAATCACGAAACAAGCTCGTAACGAAGTACAAACTAATGATTATGTCTTATTAAACTTAAACATACCTCATTCATGTCCCTGGAAGCCATGTTTTTGTGTGCCATGACTGTTGCAGCATGAAGTAGATTCAAGGTAACCATATAATACATTTTCCGTACCCCCAATTCACTTCTCTCATCTCTCGTAGCCTCCCACTGGGTAACTTGAACCAACAGGCCACAAGTTTACACACCACCCCAGGGTTACCTACAGCCCAAAGTTCCCATACTAAATTATACTCAAATGCTTCAAGGTACTCACATTATAGCGTCATGGCATTAATATTCTCGCCTCAAAGTCTTGCCTGATCCACTGAAAATTTAACTCGAACTATCAAGACTTCACATCGAGAGACCTGGATTACATCAATGCAATGGCTGCCTCGGTATCTTCATAACTCACTGACTATTTTAGGACGATGGAGAATTGGAGAATAGAAGATGGTACAGAGTTTAAAGATAAAGGAGAACGAGGGGAGAAAGAAATTGTCGATGCCCCGTCCGTGATCCTAATCACGGCCAGCCATGGCTACGTGCACCTCGTTTCTCAAGCATCAACGATATTCCTCAACGATCCTCCTCCGCCATCGCTTTTTCTACTCTCTCGTGCAGCCACGGATCTTCAAGTTTCCCGTATACCTTTTAACCGTAGGCTATTTCTTCGACCAGAGAGAGAGAGAGAAAGAGACAGAGAGAGAGAGAGGCAACTAATTCTCCAATGCTCTCTTTTCCTCCTTCTTTCCTCTGATCTTTTTACAACTGATGCCGCGGTATAACCGCGAGAGGACGGTTTTACGATCGTTTAACGTTTTGCGGTGGTGATGCCACACGAATCATTTTGAGGCGAAGGAGAGCACGAGAATGATCAACTATTGGAACTTAAAAAACGGGAGAGGAGGGAAAACATCGAAATCAGAAAAATAACAAGGCGAATGGCTGAGACGGCGGAGGAGGCGGTGGGAGGAGGATGGCTGGAGGCTGGAGTGAGACAGGAACGAGAGGTAATTACTGTGGCGACATTGACCCGACGGCGACCCGACAAGCTCTCTCGAGTCGATTCGCCTCGACTCGATTCTGCTCGGCTCGCTCACCCACACGCGCCCATGTTTGCCGTCTTCTTTTCCGCTTCTTGCGCCCGGAGGCATGGTTCACTCGAGTTCAACTCCCCGATCGCCGAACCCCGACTAACACCATCCGCGAGCCTAAATGTATGTAGATAATTTGGAGAATAATATAATTGGAGGCAATTGAAATTGATTGAAATTTTTTTTTTGGGTGGAGGGGGTGGTGTGAGAGGTTCGCGTGGTACAATTTGAGGAATGGTGCTTTTGTCGACGATCAATCTCACTCGCTTTTTCCCATGTTTTCACGGAATTCTATTAATATATCCGGGTACGTGGTTTTCAACGATAAAGAAAGGCACAATGTCAGGAGCACATATACAAGACCGAAAGTATGAAGAGCAACGGGAGGGCGTCGACATTTTATCCTCCTCTTTTCGTGTTGCCCAGATGTTGTTGGAATATGCAAAGTGCGGTAGAATGAAAAATCGAGGGAGAGGGATAGGAAAAACGAAGAAGAGGGGTTTTGGAATAATTAAACGTACATATGGTTTCCTCGTGGTTTACTTTTTTTCGAGTGGGAAAAAAGGGAGATGGGAAAAAATACAAAGCCTCCATTTGGGGAAGGCGGAAAAGAAAAACATAATGCTCGGCGCGATGGGCACTTGAATACATGTACCAACCCAGAAAGTTGACAAGTGGATTAGTTGAAAGGCATTACGTATTCTGGGCACTCAGCGACTACCGCGTTTCCGCAAACACGGTGGAGCATTCTTATATCCGACCAGCGATTTTTCTCTCCACAGGTTCGTTTGGGCTTGAACAGTTTTTGCTGAGAATGCATTATGTAATGGTTTCATTTTTTATTTTTTAATGATTCACCGGAGCCCTCTGGTGTGAGGGACAGCGCGGGATTGGAGTGTTGCATCAGTCGTTGCGAGGATTCGTCAATTATTGAAAAATCTGCATGCTTTTCAAAACTTTGTTTATTCATGTGGTTGATTCTACTAGGGGTGTAAAGATGATAAATAATCGAAATGAAGGTTGGGGTGCGAAAAAATTGTAAATCTCCATTAACGAACAGTCGAAATTTGTTAAAGATCGTGAATGCAGTGGCTTTTATCTCGAACCCACGCGCGGAGACACAAAAATTGTGACTTCATTTATGGTGCTAGCACACAAATTTTTCTAGAAAATTTTCTTTAGTGCGGGAACTTGAAAACATTAACGGTAAAAAATTGATGAAAACTATCTTAATAAGTCCACCAATGAATTCGCAAAATAACATCAAATTTCTTACATTTTGCGTTTCTTTTCCATTTTCCCACTGAGAATATACAGTCTCAGTCAGACGCAAAGAATTATCAACTCAATTTTTTCGAATTGGCAATTAAATTCCCGATTCAAAATTTTTTTAGTCATTCATTTGCTGATCATTTGTTAATTATTGACATATCAATGGCATTTGGAATTTTGAAAGTTATTATGATCATCATCAAATGGACCTGAAATGAAATTTCTTTTCTATATTCCGGAAATTAACTGTTCTAGCAATAACATTATGTGTAGAAATTTCATGTGAGTTAATCTTTTTTTTCCAATTTGATGATTTTCTGCTAAAAATGTTGGGAGTAATTCTTTGAATGGTAATTTTTGTAATATTTGTTCGGAATTGGAAATACACTTGATTCTGATATCAGGTGATTACCAAATTAGACATGTTTCGATCCCCGATTCTGATTTATTTTCCACACCCCAATTTTATTGCTCGAAATTGCGACGGGAAACATAAACAACAAAAAATTCAGCCTTCGCTTCCCGGGCAAGAGATACGTTAGGAATAACGAACTAAAGATTGGATAAACAACAATACGCCTCACGCACGGGTTTTTACAGCCTTATGAGTTCGCCCCTTTATTTAGAGAACGATCGAAAAAAAAATTGAAAAAATAAGGGACAATGGAAAATGATGCAGTAAGTGTAATAACGGCAAAAAAAGGACTGGGGAAAATGAAAAAGATATTCCTCCACATGTATAGAAGAATACCATGAGAACATCAACGTCATCACTCTCCTTTATTTACTTTCTCAATATGCTCGGTTGAAATTGTGACAAGAGTGACTCATCTATTTTCTCCCACCATTCCAA